TTCTTCCTCTCCCTTCCTCACTGAAATCAATAAAAAATATAGTTTATAAAGGTCTTGTTTAAAAAAAAAAGAATTAAGTGGCTCCAAAGGGCTAATACCAATAAAGGGAATAAGTAGATAAATGGTAAATATTTTACAGCATGAAATGTACTGGGGAGAAAAATAAAGCAGAAAAGGGGGGATGGAGAGGGTTGGTGTTGCGGGTTCTGTTACTTATTTCATAGCGTGGTCCGCTGACCACCTACGAAGGTGACATTTGAATAAAGGCCTGAAGGAGGTGAGGAAGGAACTGCAGAAAAGAGTTCTAGGCGAGGGGACACTCGGTGCAGAGATACGAGGGTGGAAGCATGCCTGGTCTGTGCAGGGCATAGTGAGAGGAACTTGTGGTTAGACGGAAGTGAACGAGGGGCAAGTGGGAGCAGAGGGGAGGTCAGAGAGGTGACAGGAGCCTTGGTGGCTATTGTGGTTATGGGGTGCCTCACTCTGACCCCATCTCTCTGCTACAGAGTTCACCAGTCCAGGAGACAACCACCACATCTGAGCCGCCTTCAGAGACTCAGGAGACCACAGGCCCCGCCCTATGCAGGTGACACCCCTCCCCTGTCCACCACCCACCACCGCTGCCCACTGTCCCTGTCCCCACCAGTGTCCTCTCTCCACAGCCCTCTCAGGAAGTCACCCCTGACCCTCGAGGACTTCAAGTTCCTGGCAGTGTTGGGCCGGGGTCACTTTGGGAAGGTGAGACGGTGGCAGGAAGTTGAAGAGCTGGGAGTCTACACCCTTGGGTCTCTGGACTGGTTGCTAAGGCCACCCCTGCCCACTGTGGTTACAGGTGCTGCTTTCTGAGTTCCGGCCCAGTGGGGAGCTGTTCGCCATCAAGGCTCTGAAGAAAGGGGACATTGTGGCCCGAGATGAGGTGGAGAGGTGGGGACCCTGCTCAGGCCGTCTGAGAACATCAGTCTTCTCTCCTGGGAAATGGGAGTCAGAGCAGTCCTTCCTCACACTTACTGAGCTAGTACTTAAGAAAATATGAACTCTTTTCTTAACATTTACTTATTTATACTCACTCTTAGAAACATCCACTCTGCGCTTTATATTCAGACTCATTTGTTCCCCATAGCAGCCCTGTGTGGTAAACACTGTTATTGCTCCCATTCTCCTGGTGGCACAGAGAAGTTGAGCAAGTTGCCTGAGGCCACAGAGCCAGTAAGCAGCTGGTCCAGGATTTAAACCTAGGGACTCGGGCTCTGAAGCCTGTGCTTTTTTTTTCTTTTAATTGATTTCAGAGAGGAAGGAAGAGGAAGATAGGAACATCAATGATGAGAGAGAATCATTGATCGGCTGCTTCCTGCACACCCCCTACTGGGGATTGAGCCCACAACCCGGGCATGTGCTCTGGCTTGGAATCGAACCAGGACCTCCTGGTTCATAGGTCAATGGTCAACCACTGAGCCACACCAGCCGGGCTGAAGCCTATGCTCTTAATGGTGCCGTAGCATTGCCTCAGCTTTGGGGTCAGGGCCCTGAGTTCAAATCCCATCTCTGCCACAGACATACTCAGAGATCCTGGGGAGACCCTTCTGAACCTCAGCCTACCCCTCAATAAAAGGGGAGTAATAGTGTCTTTGTTGCAGGGTAATCAAGGTGCATTAAATGAGAGACTGAATCTAGAGCATTCTGCATAGTGCCTGGCCTCCTGTAAATTCTCAGTTAGAAACACTGAGACTATCCCCAATCTTCTTGATATCTTTTTGTTAACCAGGAACCCAATTCGGGCAGACTTAAGCAAATAGAAGAATTTATTGCTCTGGATCAGAAATGTCCAGGGGTGTCTGCCTTCAGGCATGGTTGTATCCAGGTGCTCAGATAATGTCTCTCAGTTCTGCTTTCCTGTGTATGGGCTTTGCAGTCCCCTCATAGCGGCAGAGGTGCCCTCCACCCAGCAGTTTAAGGTTCATCCACTAGATTTAGCCCTTCTTTAAAAAATTCCAGGAGATCCCAGTCATATGCCTATGTTGCGGGCTCCATCCCCAGTAGGGGGCATGCTGGAGGCAGCCCATTGATGTTTCTCTCTCTCTCTTCCTCTCTCTGCAATCAATAAAAACATTTTTTTTTTAAATATATTTTATTGATTTTTTACAGACAGGAAGGGAGAGAGATAGAGAGTTAGAAACATCGATGAGAGAGAAACATCGATCAGCTGCCTCCTGCACATCTCCTACTGGGGATATGCCCGCAATCCAGGTACATGCCCTTGACCGGAATCGAACCTGGGACCTCTCGGTCCGCAGGCCGACACTCTATCCACTGAGCCAAACCGATTTCGGCAATAAAAAATTTTTTAAAAAATATATTTTTATTTCAGAGAGGAAGGGAGAGGGAAACAGAGAGAAACATTAATGATGTGAGTGAATCATTGATCAGCTGCCTCCTGCACGCCCTCTACTGGGCATTGAGCCCATAACCCAGGCATGTGCCCTTGACCAGAATTGAACCTGAGACCCTTCAATCCGCAGGCTGATACTTTATCCATTGAGCCAAACCAGCTTGGGCAATAAAAACGCTTTTTAAAAATTCCAACAGAAATCCTGAGATTGAGCCCCACTGGCTTGGCTTCCTCATTCCTGAATAAATTCCTGGCCAGGGAGATGGGGTGCTCCAATAGCCAACCCCTTGCAGCTCCCCAAAGAGAAGTTGGGGGAATGTTACTAGGATGACAGATGGATTCTAGGAGCCTGTTTAGCTGACAAGGCTGCCGAAGTTTAGCCATATGAAGCAATATGCCCAAGGTTGCACAGCCATAAGAGGCCTTCAACAAATATCCAATGTTTGAGGTCTCTAGGGAGTGTGAGAGTTGGGGGTAGGGAGCTACTATGCTCTCTGACCCCTGTCCCCACCCTGTCCAGCCTGATGTGTGAGAAGCGGATCTTGGCAGCGGTGACCAGCGCAGGACACCCCTTCCTGGTGAACCTGTTTGGCTGTTTCCAGACACCAGAGCACGTGTGCTTTGTGATGGAATACTCGGCTGGTGGGGACCTGATGCTGCACATCCACAGTGACGTCTTCTCCGAACCCCGAGCTATGTGAGCCTGGCCCCCTGCACCCCATGCCTCAGTCCCTTCTCCATCCTCCCCCTAAAGATCCCACCTTCCTCCCTGCCCGCTCCCCCCCCCCCCCAGCCCTTGGAGTCTGGTCGAATGGGGGGCTTTTGAGGATGTGGCATCCAGGTTTGTATGATCTTCCTTGTGGGGAGGCCTGGCTCCCTCACACCAGCCTCTCTCTGCAGCTTCTATTCAGCCTGCGTGGTCCTGGGGCTGCAGTTTCTCCACGAACACAAGATTGTCTACAGGTGTGTGCGTGTGCATGCTCATGCATGCATGCTCTGCCCACTGGGGGGCCCTCAGGCTTCAGGCAGGGCCCCCATTCCCACTCATTCCTCTTTACATCCCCCAACCCCTCACAGGGACCTGAAGTTGGACAATCTGCTCCTGGACACGGAGGGCTATGTCAAGATCGCAGACTTTGGCCTCTGCAAGGAGGGTGAGGGGCGGGGCAGGGATCTGAGGGTATTAGACAGAATGGGGGGAAGGAATGGAGTCCCCAACCCTACCCAGGTTATCTCACAACCTCACCCTTGATCCTGGGACAGGGCTGGTGGGACCCCTTCCATCCCCCAATAATCTCACATGTCCCTGCTGCCCCAGGGATGGGCTATGGGGACCGGACCAGCACATTCTGTGGAACCCCGGAGTTCCTGGCCCCCGAGGTGCTGACAGACACGTCGTACACGCGGGCGGTGGACTGGTGGGGGCTGGGCGTGCTGCTCTATGAGATGCTGGTTGGTGAGGTGAGGCCACAGGCTGCCCCCACCCTGCTTGTCCCTGGGATGGCACTGGAACCTGCGTGTGCCCAGGGGTGGAATCAGAATCTGCCTCCAACACGTGTTGTGTGACCAGGGGCAGGTGGCTTCTCTCTGGCCTTAGTTTCCAAATTGTAAAGTGGGGTACATACCCTCTGTGTGCAGGTGCAGCCAGAGCAGAGGGCTTTGTGGCTGGGTGTGGCATGGCCAGAGGAGGTGCCTAATTCATTCACCCTGTTCTCCCTGCTTTCTCCCTGTTCCCAGTCCCCTTTTCCAGGGGACGACGAGGAAGAAGTATTTGACAGCATCGTCAACGATGAGGTTCGCTACCCCCGATTCCTGTCAGCTGAAGCCATCGGCATCATGCGCAGGGTGAGGACCCCCGAAGCTGGGGTGTACTGGGGAGGGCTCTGGGGTCCGGAGGGAAGGCTGATACAGTGCCCCCACGCGCAGCTTCTGCGGAGGAATCCGGAGCGGAGGCTGGGATCCAGCGAGAGGGATGCGGAGGATGTGAAGAAACAGCCCTTCTTCAGGGTGAGGACCCTCATCCTTCCAAGGGCCAGGCCATTTCCCCTACCTTGTTGCTTCACCTTCAACATGGTCACCCCTGCCTTCCCCCTCCCTCACCCTCACTGACCCTGCTACACCCATACCTCCTCCAGGCTGGCCTTAGGGAACCGCTGCCTTAGTGTGAGACCAGGCTCCCCTGATCCTTTCGGGCCTCCCAGCCCCGCCCACTCTGCCCCGCTATCTTGTGACTCAGAGGGACCTCCACAGATCCAGAGGTGGAGGGGGCGCAAGGGGCTGGCCCCTCATGCCCGCTGTGCCCCAGCCCCCCACACTGACCTCCCCCCACTCTCCCTGTAGACCCTGGGCTGGGACGCCCTGCTGGCCCGGCGCCTGCCGCCGCCCTTCGTGCCCACGCTGTCAGGCCGCACAGATGTCAGCAACTTTGATGAGGAGTTCACCGGGGAGGCCCCCACGCTGAGCCCGGCCCGGGACTCGAGGCCCCTCACGGCCGCGGAGCAGGCGGCCTTCCGGGACTTCGACTTCGTGGCCGGGGGCTGTTAGCCTGCTCCCCTGCCCTTGCTCCCACCCAGCTGTTGTTAGTTTTTAAAAATGCCTTTGGGGTTTGCCCCCTCCATGCATCCCTGGCTCTTTTTGTTCACAGTAATGGGGATGGAGGGGCGTAATGAGAGGTGGGGAGAGTGGGGTGGGAAGATGCCTTGGGTTATGCTGGGGGGTAATTGGAAGGGAGTCGGGAGGATGGGAACTTGGGGCTGTCACTATGGTAGGGAGCATGGACAGGCCTTGGAGGGAGGGGTTCAGGGCTGTGATGGGGCGTGGCTTGGGGGTACAGCCTTGGGGTTGTGTTGGGGGAGCTCAGAGCCCCCGTGGGCGAATGGCTGCGGGAGTCCGTCCTGGCAGCGGCAGGGCCAGAAGCGCTCCACCACCCTCACTGTTCCCACTCGAGCCTGGAGCCCGGGGCTACGGTGGCAGCACTCTGCGCATGCTCCTGCGGCTCCGGCTCCGCGTCAGGCGGCCTGGGCCCCCGCGTGGCCAGTTCCGGAACTGCACCGCCGGAGGAGCGCCCTGGCCTCTGCCACCCCCCAGCGGCCACACGCGTGCTGTAGCACCAACGGGACACACCGCCCTGGGCTGGTCCGCAAAATGGCTTTATTCCTCGAAGGCTCCGCGCTGCGGACCTTGCCCGGCATGGAGTGGTCTGGCTTAGTTGCTGGGCCTCCGGGTGTGCCTAGAAGTGGCTGAGGCCACTGTGCCGGGAGCTGCGCAGCGAGCTGGCCTCCCAGGTGCTTCTGGTTAGACCCAGCGCGGGGCTGCCCTTGGCGCCGGGCCTCCGGGGCAGGAGGCGAAGCAGTTGGCGCAGCACGGCTTGGCGCAGCAGGATATACACCCAGGGGTCCAGGATCTGGTTCCACGAGGCGAGGCGCACGGCCATAAACAGCGGCCTCTGCAGGGAGCTGGAGCCCCAGCCCCCAACGGCCAATACCACCAACACCTGCGGGAGAAGCCGCGGTGAGCGGTGGAGTGGTTGTCAGAGAAGGGGCCCAGCGATGGGTGGGGCTGGGATGGATGGGAGCTTGACTGGAAGGTAAAGGGGTTGTGAGCGTCACGGAGGAAAATGGGTGTCTTCGTGAAAAGGAGCTATGGAAAGATCGGCGAAGAAGCGGGGCCTTAAAGGACGCGGAGAAGCAAAGGCCTTCGAGTGGGGCTCGGACTAGAAAGAAGAGAAATCCCAGGTGTCCCAAAGGGCAGAGGGCTGAAGGGAAGAAGAAAAACGGTGTATGGAGGTGGTAGGGGGAGGGGGACGGAGCCAGAGAATGGAGTGTCAGGGCCTAGAGGTGTGCGGCTGGGGAGGAAGCTTGTGGGGTTGGGGTGAACTACGAAGACCCCAAGAAGAAGAAAGATCAGGGGGCTTGGAGGAGGGGTGGACGTCAGGGAGAGGGCAAAGGGCGGGCTTTCTTGACAGGTGGGGCTTGAAGGGGGCGGGACTCTGGCTGGGGAAGAGAGAGGGGACAGGAATATCCTCGGATGGAAAAGGTAGTAGGGGCCCAGGCGGGAGCAGGAAGAACTTGGCTGAAGGGGCCGGTGCGCCCCTCACCAGCAGCGGGCTCCAGCAGATGCACGACACCACCATGATGCCCACGAGCTGGCCCACCATCTCCACGTCGTGGGCGCGGGCTCTACGCGTTGAGCCACGGCCCAGGATGCCGCTGGGGGCAGCGGAGGCCGAAGCGACGGAGGAGGCGGAGGAGGCGGAGGCCGAGCGGAGTCCGCGCCCACCCCATCGCCTGCGGCTGTCGGGGCCTGAGGTCCGGGATGGCGGTCGCGAGCGGCGTAGCCAGCGGGCGCGCAGCAGGGCCAGGCCGCTGAGCGTGTTGCACACGAGCGCGGCGAGCAGCGCGGCCAGGCCGAGGCCGGCGAAAAGGCCGGCGAGCAGTGCCTGGCCCCAGCCGCCCGCCGGGCCCAGGCCGATGAAGCACCACGTGCCGGGGTACTGCAGCTCGTAGCGGCCCACGCGCACCAGGGGCAGCAGAGCCACGGCCAAGGCCACGGCGGCCAGCGCGGCCAGCACAAGGCGAGCGCGGGCCACTGAGACGTGCGCGGCGTGCAGCAGGGGCCGCGTCACTCCCACACAGCGCTCCACCGCCATGCCACAGCCCAGCAGCAGTGGGCACAGGCCAAAGAAGACCATGCAGCCACCCAGAAAGTGGCAGGCGCCTCCAGCCGGCGGGCGCCCTGCGGCGTACAGGCGCAGCACCAGTGCCCCCGGGATCACATGGCCAGCCAGGTCGGTGGCCAGCAGGCTGGCGACGAACAGCAGGAAGGTGGCCGCCGAGCGGCGGCGCCGCATGCGACCCAAGGCCTGCGCAAGCAGCGCCAGTGCCAGCAAATTGGACACCGCGCCCAGCGTCATGGAGAAGATGGGCAGCGCTGGTGATGTGCCCCCGATGCCCGGCGGTGGCCCAGTGGATGCGTTGGGGGCCACAGGTGCAATACACGTGGTCGCCTCGCCCACCAGGCTCAGGTTGAGGGGCCCGTAGGGGATCATGTCAGGTGCCGGGGGTGGGGCTGGGGAGAAGAGGAGGGCAAGTTGAGGCTGGCCCTGGGCACAGCGCCCACTGGGACCAGCTGATGGTCCCTTTTTGGGTCATTAGGGCCCAAGGGACCCCATGGCAACGCCAAAGACCCTGGTGCCCAGTTCCTGACTCCTCCTTCGCCTCTTTCCCTCCCAGCTCTTGCTCCCAGCCCCACTCTGCCTCACTGCCTACTTCCCGGTTCACTGTGGCTCCCCTGGCCCCAGTCCCCTGGTCTATCATAGCCTCTGGGTCTCATAGACCCACCTCCCATTTACATCATAGCGAATTCCTGGTCCCCTGCCCCATGTGATACTCGAGGACCCATTTCTGATCCTAGGGCTCCACATGACCCACTGCCCCGTCTCGGACAGCCCTACTCCAGTCCCATCCTTGATGCCCACAGCTCCACCTCTGCCACTGTGGGCCCCTCTCTCCCCACTGCACTGTCTGTCGCCATGGCCCCATCTCTGTCCCCCACATTCCCATCTCTGAGCTCCATTGCTGTCTCCCTCTCACTCAGGCCCTACCAGACCACAGCTACCTCCCCCAGGATGCCCCAGGGTTCCACTCCCGCCAGCTCCCCGTCCCTGCCCCAGAGGCCTCAGGCTGACCCAGGACCACCCCTCCCTTGATATCCAGTGGTGAGGGCTGAGAGGGCATTACTGCCCCCTGGGCCAGAAGGGAAAGGAGAAGGGACAGATGGTTAAGAGCAACCAGGACAGATAGGGCTGAGAACACAGGATGAACAGGTAGAGGGAACCATGGCCCCATCCTTCTGTGCCCTCCAGCCCCACCTGAGATCCTTGCACCCCGGTCTTCTTACCTGGTGGTGCCTGGAACACCAGGTCCCCATCGCCTGCTTCTCAGTCCCGGCTGTCCGCTGCGCTCCAGCTCTCCGGCAGGCCGCTCCCTCCCTCCCTTCCTACAGGGGCGGCTCCTTGCTGGGCTCCCTGCCTCCTCTGGCTGCCCACTCAGGCCTCCAGGGGCTGCTCCACCCAGCACTAGCCCATTGAGGGGCCTGGGGAGGGCAGAGACCCCCCCTCTCTGCACTTCTGGCAATGGGTAGGGGTCACTCTGGGCCCCAGCTCCCCTTATGAGGAAGGGGGGCTCCCATGGAGTTGTCCTGCCACCCCCCCGTGACCCCCTCCTCTTGGTAGGGCAGGAGCACCCCCCTTCCCCCCAGGCTTGGGCCTCTCGCCTGCCTCATTAATAAAGTGGATAAAATCTAAACACTGGAAAATGTGAGCGTCGCCAGGGGCCGGCTGGGGCGGCTGCAGGGGGTGCCGCTACGCCCATGGGGGCCGCGAGGTTGGGGGGCTAGCCCTTGTGGGGGCAGCAGCACTCCTTTGCCCTGCCAGAGCCTTCATGGATGTTGGGTGGGTGGTGGTGGGCAGTGCCTTGGGTGGACTAGCTTGGGTCAGGCCCAGCCAGGCCAGGAGATCCGCCCACTATTTACACAGGAGCTTAAAGCCCAGGCCAGGGCAGCAGGGAGTCATATCCCTGGAGGGGAGGAGGCCGAGGCCCAGTGACCAGGGGGCCCTCCTACTAGTAGATCCTGCTTCAGGATGTGGTGAGGGACACACCTGTGGACACACAGCTACAGCCTCACCTCCTGCCCTGAGAAGTAGGGACACAGTCTCACACCTGAAGACACACTATCATTTCCCCGAACACCCTGAGACCAGCCACCATCTTGGCGTGTCCCCAGCCAGCCACATTCCTCAGAGCCTTGGAGTCAGCCATCATCATACCCCTGAACTCACTAAGGCATTTGCACCCCCAGCACCAGAGACATCCCCATAGTAACTGACTCTAACACCCTGAAATACAGCCCCTGAGAGCCTTCACGGATACAGCCCCCCAGCCATATCCATATCACTCAGAGATACCCCCTAACAGTCCAAGTCACACTCCACACCCGAAACACAAGGAGTTGCAATGCCCTGGACTCCCCGAGATCTTGCTGGTCACCCCCTACCCTAGAAATAGGAACATCCAGACACACACACGCTCACAGCTCTACAATCACATACCCACACTCTATGTAGACACTGCCATTTATACGCACAAACACCTCAATACAGTCACACGTCATCAACACAGATACACAGTCCTACTCTCAACACTGAGACACACCCTTTCAGGAGAAGGCTCCTAGTGGTACGGACACATGAAACACCTCCAGGTGCCCAGGAATGCACGGAGTAACCCCGACAACTGCTACCCCTGCCCCACCAGAGAATATAGCCACGCACCCCCAGCTCAGGGCACTCCCACTTCCCCCACCCTGGAGGCCAATTGCCCACCCAGCGGAAATGGGGAGTGGACTGGGCTCACATTTCCCCCCTCGGCTCACTCCCCGCAACATTCCTGCAGGGACCTCCAGCCTAGCTGGCTCCCCTCCCTTCAATCCTGGCTCTTCCCTCCTGGTCTGGCCAGGGTCCCGCCCCACCCCCTTCCCAGATCCCCCTTAAATCCTTGAGGGTGAAGAGGGTTGTCAAAACAAGCAGGCCGGGTTTCTGTCCAGTGCACAGCATGGCCTGCCGTGGACACTGCAGACCCTGCACGTCCAGTCAGGTGGTGTGTGGTGGCATCGTGGCTGCTCCCCGAGCTTCAGGCATGGGCTGCTCCAGCCCCCAGCACTTGCCCCAGCCCCCAGCGGGCCTGAGGCCGGTTGAGCCCCCTCCCCGCCAGCTTTCTTTTTCCAAGCCAGGCTTCCACACCTCCTGGCCCTGGGGCTTCCCACCACCCTGGGCTGTAGCCAGCAGCCTTGTGCCCACTGTTCACATCAGGCTGGGGTGGCAGGAGGCACTGTTCAAAAGGGAGCAAGACTAGAACCCTCAGTAGGCCAAAAAGCTCAGGCCTTGCCTGGAAGCCTGGTGGCCCACAGCCAGAAGCCCCATCAGGCGGAACGGGTGGGAGGGGGCGGGCAGCCAGGGCCAGCTCCTAATTCAATTTGGAGCCCGGGGAGGATGGATTTCAGCTGCTACATTTTTTCCCAGCCTGGGCCCATCCCACACTCTCAATCCAAGGCCACCAGACAGGTCCAACAGCAGAGTCTTTATGTTCGACAGCAAATTCAGATACAAAAGCCCACTGCCATCATCCCTCATGCCCTGTCTGTCCCGGGCTGGGCTGAGGGAGACATAGGAGTGGGGTGGGAAGTGGGGGGTTCACAGCAGACTTGTGTTTCAAATGCAGAGGTAGGGAGCTCCTCTGGAGGAATGGCGGGAGGGGGGATTATTGCATTTGCAGGGGGGGACGCTCCCCCTTTTGAATTCCTTATGTCAGGAAACCAGGAGGTCAGGACCCCCAAACAGAACCCGAGGCCGCAGGGAGACAGAGGGACCAGTTTGGCCGCTGATGTGGGAAGTGTTGCGGGCGGGGTCTGGCTGCCCAATCTGGCTGGTCCTTCCCAGAGCCTGATCTGGCTGAGGTAGGTGGGGAACAGGGTGGGAGTAGGGGGGCAACTGGGGACCCCAGCCAGGCTGGGAATCAGGGAGGAGTGGTACCGACTGGAGTGGGGCAGGGGCTCAGCCCCACCTCCACGCCACATCCTGGGACTGCTGGGCCAGGGCCAGGCTGAGCAGGGTGCCGGAGCCTGGGCGGTGGTGCCCCCATCCCTGGGGCTCCCACAGGCCTGGCTCAGGTCATCGCAAGGTCCAGTGGGAGTCCTAGTATCGGCCGACCTTGGCGTCCCCAATGGCACCCCAGACGTCAAAGACGAACTCATCAGGAAAGGCAAAGTCACCAAGCCGCTCATCCAGGGCCTCGGCCAGCTCGTCTGGATTCCTCTTGTCCTTCCCAAGCTCTACCATGGTGGCCGCTGGGGGTGGGGGAGCAGAATGGAGGTGGTCAGGGCAGACCCAGTCCACAGGACCTGGAAGCCTCCTCCCCCAGACTCCCACCCCTCCCAGATTCAAACGTCAAGCACTCACCCAGCTCTGTGTCCCTGATGCCCATGTAACTCTCCAGCAGGTCATCTACTTTCTCAATTGCCTTCTCCTCAAAGGCCGAGGGCTGGAGGTGGGGTGGGAGGAGGGACAGGGGCATCATAATAATGTAAACATTAACTCTAATTGTATTTACTAAGTGCCAGGTCTCTTTTTGCCACTTTGTCTATATTAACCCTCAGTTCATTCTCAGGACAACCCCGACATTATCAGTATTAATTCCCCCCCCCCCCCCCCATTTTACAGACAAGGAAACTAATAAGGCCAACAAGAAGGGTCCTAGAGCTGGGAGGAGGCAGAGGTGGGTTTGAATCCAGTGCCTGGAGCCCCTCAGCTAACAGGTGATACTGCACCCTGTGAGTGTGCAGGGAAGGGGGCCCGGGGCCCAGCTGGAACACTCACCAGATCCTCTACAGTGGCAGGGCCCCGGGATCGGAGCCGGAGAGTCCCTCTGCCAGTGCCCAGCTGGGGGCCGGAGCCAGGACGGCCACCCCCTGAACGCATGCTGATCATGTCTGTGGGCGGCAGGGGAGGTGTGAGAGTGGGGGAAGCCCAATTCCAGCATGTTTTGGACAGGAACCAAGACATCCTGGTCTTAGACACTCCCCTCTACCTTCTCCAAGCTCCTGCAGGCTCCAGGGGCAGTTGGGGGCTGAGGTGATCCCAGGAGGGCAGGATTCCTGACAGACTTGGCATGGGTGGGAGAGGGGCAGCCAGGGGCTGGGAATGGAAAAGGCTAAAAGGGACATTAAAGGGGACCATCTCTCCCAGGGCCCAAGGGACAGGAAGGGGATGGGGCCTTGATCTCTAGCTGCTCTCCCCAGGGTCATTCGGGGGAGGGAGGGAGGGGCATAATAGCTGCTGGGCCATGGACCAGCCCTAGCTGCTTGGGGAAGTGTTTCAGAGTCCCCCACCCCCACCTTAGGGGCCTGGAGCCCATTCCTGAGAGTTAGTGAAGCCAAACTGGAAAGTGTGGGGGGGCTGGCACAGGGCAGCCAAGCCTGGCTTATAGGGGCTGGGGGGGTTGGGGGAGCTGGCCAGGGTTGGGGGCGCTTGGCTGGGCTAATGGCTCCTGGAAGCTGGACGCGGGGGCAACTTCCTCCTCGTCCCCACCCTCCGTCCAGCCTGGGAGGAGGGCCAGCACCCCCCTCCCCAAGGCAAGGCGGAGCTGTCCCTCTTTCCAATTAGGCCTGCTGGGCTTGGGCGCTACCTTCTGGTGGCTCGTGGCACTGCAGCCCGGACCCAGGTATATTGGGTGGTCCAAGCAGCAGCTCCTCACCAAAAGCTTTGCGGGGCTCCGTGAGCTTCAGTGTGAAGGTGCGTCCTCGGGGCAGCTCCTTGAGCAGCCGGGCCACCTCGTAGTGCCGACAGCCCAGCAGGCTCTGCCCATTGATGGCCTCGATCATGTCGCCCACGTTAATGAGCTGGATGTGGTCAATGACGCTGCCCTCCTTGATGCGCTGAGGAGAGAGGAGCTGTCAGCCCTGTGGCTCCACCCCCAGACCTATGGCCACCCTCCTCCTCCAGCCCCCCCCCCCCCCCCACACACACACAACCCTCAGGCACCTTGATGAAGGCGTAGCCCGCCCCGTTGTCTGTGATAGTGAGGCCCAGCGCCTCCTCCGACTTGAACACCTCCACCTCCTTACGCTGCCCCTTGACATGGGCAAAGATGAAGTCCTCCAGCCCAATCTGGCCCCCCAGGAGCTTGTCCATGTCCACTTTGTGGGTGTTGAGGGTGCAGAACATCACCTGCAGAGGTAGGAGACACTTAGCTCTCACCTCCCTCCCTCGTCCTTTGAGGAAGAAGGAAAGAGATTCTGGAAAGGCCTGGGGGTCCCCACCCCAGTGCCTGACCACTCCAGGAGCCAGGGCAGGGCTCCCACTGGGATGTCAGCTCAGCTAGGGCTGAAATTTCTGTCCTAGCAAAAATCTCCCTGCCGGTTCCAGGGCACTGAGCCTGGCCCACGGTGGGTGCATAGTACATGCTTGTGGAATGCGTGAAGGGCACAGACACCCACCCAGCTACTGAGACCCCTGTGGCTACTTCGTGCTCAATCCCTCCTGTCCTCTCTTTCCTTGTGCCCAAGTCCTTGGGGTCAGGCCTCTCTATGCATCTGGAGAAGTGAATCTTGCACCGGACCTCCAGCTCCCACAATCCACTGGGGTGCAAGCCTCT